TTACCTTAGAATGAGCCATTAATATCTACAGATGCTGCTCCATTCATTGAGGCTGCCATGTTGTACTGAAATTACACTGCTAGATGCCACTAAATCCTACACACTGGTCCTTTAAGCAATAGTTTGACATTTGAGGAAATACACACAGTCAGATGAGAAGACCAACACCACTCTGGAGTATCTGAACACTTCCAAGAAGCTACTGTCCCCGGCCAAGAAATAGTAACTCCCATAATACTGTGACTCGTTTTTTTACTTCGGTTTTAGTAGGAATGAAACAAACGAGATGTAACATATTACTATGTGAGCTTTAGAGATGCTGGTGGGCATAGATTTTCACCTGTGAATGGAATCAAAGCTGTTTCAGCCCTGCAGTCTTTATGCTGAGCTAAGATAATCATCTCCTGGTTATTGCCTCATATTTACAGTACAGACATGGTGGTGGCATCGATCATCTCATTCAAATCTCAGCAAGAAAGCAAATAGGTTGGTTTAAGGGTTAGGTTTTGAATACGGTTTAAGTAAAGCAATGTTTATGGTTAAGAATAGGCAATACATTATATTAGTGACAGTCCTCACAAGTATAGCAGATTAAACATTAGTGTGTATGTGCATGTGTGTGCATGTGTGTGTGTGTGCGTGTGTGTGCGTGTGTGTGTGTGTTGCTCTGTTCTGTGAGATGTAGTGTCTCTCATCTATGTTAAAAGCCATACTATCATCCTGTGCTGTAACAGTGAAACCTGTTTCAAACCTTCCTCCCTTTTAAAGAGCCCACACGCATCGAAACACAGACTATAACTGAAACCTTTGTATCTTAGAGCTGAGTATTTCCCACTCATAAATCTGTTGTGTCACACCACTGTGCACTGGCGTGACACCAGGGTCTCTGTGGAGTCAATAAACATTGCACTCAAATTCAATCAAAAAGGATTTGAGTGTGAAAAGTATCAATCTTCCTGTTAGGCTGCATCTATACACTGTGTTTATTGTGATATACAGCCAACTCTGATTTGTCTGGCTTGTAGCTGTTTTGAAAAAAAATTATGTTTGGGTTCATATAAAATGGCTGGTCTGCCATAGATAAAAAGGAATATAAGAGTATAAAACAATTATTTAATTATCAAGTATCCCCTCTTCAAATGTAACTTAAGTTACCATTTCTCTGTATGTCCATCCATTGAGATTACAGGGACGAATATAATCCCAGAAGGACCCTCAGTCCTGCCTCAATCCCTGCTGCTCTGGAGCCACATGCGGCTATTTATTGTTTGTTTGTTTATTTATTCAAGGAGGGACAATGCACATTAATTAACATGAGCACTTAAGTCCATCATGTAACTGTGCCAGATTTAGCCATTCAGGCTAATTTTCCTCTGCACTCTCAGTAGCGGTGGCTACTAGTGTTGAGTCTCCCTAGCGGTTCTAGCAATGGATTCCGCCTCCAAACAAAGTCTCAAGAGGAAAATAGAAAGAGATTTGTTTGCTTCCAACACTGCTGGCTTTCCAGTATGTTTGATCCGCAGAGACAAATTAGCATTATAAGGCTAAAATGTGTTTTTGGGCTCCAGGCAGATTTTTATTTTATTTTTTTGGACAAAAATTGCTCTTTTGATAGTAAAGGTTGCTGATCCCTGCTCTACTTCATCTGCCTCTCTGGTCTCATTAAAGCCACCAGCATGGGGGGACTGTGACACAGACGCAAATCTTTATTGATACAAGTATAGCTGTCACCTTAATCAGCCAGTCAGTCACAGCTAACACAGTGCTGACCAGCGCGGGCATATTCACAGGGTCAATCAATTGCAAATGATTGGCACATGCAGCATTTACCTTGAGAGAAAAGAGGGGAGGAAAGGGAGGGCGGGGGTTGTAAACAGAGAGCAGGCTGTCATGGAGAGGAGTCAGGCTGATTGAGTTGTGTTGACAGAGGGACGGCTGTGATCTCTTACCTCTCTCCACTGTTTGGACTCCACACCCTGCGTGTACAACACAACCACTGTGAGGAAGGGAGGCGGAGGGAGAAAGAGAGAGCAGAGGAATACATTGTCACTTAACAATCTCAATCAAGCATCCTTCTTCTTCAAATGGTGTTTGTTTTGTTCACTCTTTGCCAGCATTCATCATTAATTATCCTGCCACGCCTTGACAGCATAATGAAGTGCCAAGCTTGATGATGGAGCCGCGCTGCATCGAATTTGGGTATGATGTCCACATGCAAAGAACAAAGCTCTAAAGCAAGATTGAAGGCTCGCTGGAGCACAATTTAAGCCACGCAATTAAAACACAATTTCTTAACAGTGGGTTTCTCCTGATTCCTGTTTGATTTTGTGACTTCAAATGAAGCTGAGGCTGGCGAACACTACGTGACCTGTCATATATTGCAAGGTTCATCTTCGGGCGAATACAAAACAGGGCGAGTGTGATATTTTCCTAGTAGCTTATTTACACAAAGGGCTTGAACCTCCTCCCTATTATGTTAAATGTCTCCTCCGTTCTCTATCCTTCAGGGAGTATCAAAGAAAATGCCTTTATGACGGTTCCCCATGTGTCTCACCAAAAGATCGCCATTTGTATTCAAAGGCTGGCGTTTATACTCTGCATGCATTAAGGTACTTTCCGTAGCTCTCAGTGAGGAAAGGTTGTCACATTACTGTGCAAATGATATGCAGTTATTGAAGGAACACTTTGAAATAGCAGAGTAAACTGAATCAAAGTTAAGCTCAGCGAAAAGTAAAAAAGTAAAGCTTCGCAAAAGGAGAGGAGGTGTCCATGAACCATATTCTGTGCAAGGAAAAGCTAAGCTGCAATTAGCATCGTAAAAAGCTGAGAACTTACATGGGTCGGATTTGGAGAAAGTGTCTCGGTCCAAGAGATTCCTGTAAGAGAAGGAAACATCAAAATCTCATTGAATTCCAGCATGTGTTTGTGTTTAATTATTTTAACTGAATTTACTGCTATGTAACAGTTGGCAAGTCCCATCTTATTTTGTAAAATATGTAAATTTGGTCTTACACAGTTTAACAAAATTTCTATACGCAAAGATCTACAAGATAATCGCATGGTAATTCACATCCACACTTAATTTCACATACTGTCCTTGAGTTTTCATTTTCAGGTGAGCAGTACAATAATAAGCACATTAGAGCTCAGGGAAAGGACACAGAGGACACAGAGGTGCCAGTGAACACATTGGTGCCACAAAGCATTCAGAGTGCAAACCTTCACCAAGGCTGCACAATCCTTTACATTTATTCTGAGATAAAAAACTTTATTCATTAAAAAAACACATAAAACAGACGAACGTGCCATTTACGTGCCAGTTTTTTGTTCATTCAAGTAAGTGTAGTAGTTCATCTCAAAATGAAGCGATCTTGAAAGAATTCCAAAATGTCTGTCTCTGTGTGTTTGATCTCTGCGTTTGTTCTTTAACCTATGGCTTTGTTTTCTGCTAGATTTGAATAGTTGATTTGATTAGATGTTGCTAAGAAAGAAAATGACAAACAAACAGCACCAAAGACACAGAATAACATATTTTGTAGGTAACTAATGAACACATATGTGCCATAGAAAAGAACAGAAGTGACAAATACTCACACTCACAGTTGCAGCCTAATATGACCCGATTTTTGAATGGTGATTTAGTTACTTTAGTTCTTCTACAGTAAGTTTGCATATGCTCTTTGGACAGCCATATATACAGCAAAGGGTGGACAACATTTCAACAGAACTACAGTGACGAAAATGATAAAGAAATTACTCCTTATATTATCATAATTTTAGAGACTACATCCACAGATTCTAACTCAAATCACTTTTGTGCCAATTATATGAGCGGTTGCCCTGCTCAACCAGAGAAGGACTAATTAGATCTGCAACAATTATTCTATCAACAAAAAATGTATTGGCTGGTTTTTAAATAAACGATTAATCATCTAAGTTATTTTTCAATTTTAATTAGTACCGAAGAGTCAAGGTGAAGAGTCATGTGCCTCAGGGCAGAAAGCAACAAGCCACAACACAGAGTACATATGAAGACGTATTTCACCATTCACAGCAACATAGCACAATCAATAAAATCAACAGGTCCATCAGTATGCATCCATGTGCCAGGGTTCGATTCAAGGCTCATGTAGCATCCATGGGAGCATCCTAGAGTCACTGCAAAAGGCTGTTTCATGTGCTCATAATGTTGTGCAGCGGCACTGGGTACGCAAGTCACACTTATTCTGACCAGTTCCCAATCTGTCTTCCGCACAATAAAAGAAAACAGACTACTCTTACATACTTACAACAGCATTTCCCACACCCTAAATCCTCCAAAGCCTAAAATAAAGCACAATCTTGCTCGTTGTGGAGGAGCTATCCAGTTCCCTGACACCCTTTAAAGCAACCTGGCACTCTGATTGACTCATTCAAGATAAGAGCTGCAATCAACATGAATATTATTCATTCATTCTTTATTCTTAGCCTCTTCCAGGCTGGATTTCATGATTTTTGGAAGCTGGAGCAAATTTCTGTCGTTCATTTTAGGACTCATGGACCCTCTTGTATGCCCCTATGGTAGATAAAACGTTATAAAGTGCCCTCAAGGGTGCCTTTTGAGTGGAGAAAACGTGATGAAGTGCCCTCTAAGGTGCTAATCCTAACCCTGACTAAGCTGTTAAATGCATCACAACTTTCTGCGTGCTGCCCTTTAGCATTTCCTTCTATTACTGTACAAGATCCAATAAAGCAGCTAAAAAATAAGACTGCTACCATCAATCACTTCATTCAACATTTTAGATGAAAGTCATTTTCCAGATGGTCTCAATGATCTAATAAGCATATCAATCTAATCCAATGTAAAATATGTCTTGTTTCTGGTTTCTGGTTGTGAGCGTCAATACATAACTTGTAGTTCAGAACAATCCTCATCCCTTTAGGGGACCGCAGGATTTCAATGAATATAGATGAGAGTTCAGGACTGAATCCAAGCAACAGGACATCATTCATGTACAC